TTTTGTGGAGCATGGAGCTTTTCCCCATGTCACTCTGCCTTCTTCCTCTGAAACACCGGTTAGCTGTGCTCAGTTGCTGTATTTTCTATTTTTTTTTTTTTTTTGAACTGGTGAACTGACATAAGGAAGTTATTTTACAGCAAACAGTAAAATAAATCCAGAATTGCTATAGTGGACCTCCATTTTTGGTTGGTAGAACAGTGTCAGGGATGTGAGGAGCTCTCAGTGCTCATAAACAACCAATTTTGTGGAGCATGGAGCTTTTCCCCATGTCACTAAGCCTCTTTCCATTCTTCTTCCTAGTTTTTGTCAAACTCAGTACCTCTCCATTGCACCGTAAAGCTGCTATTGACTAAATTTATTTTTATGATACTTGTAAATGCCTATTTATACTCTGCATCATCCTCTCTAATCTCAGGGATATCGCACTCGCACCTTGATCACGCTGGTGCTGCCTTGTTGTTCTGCAGGGGCTGCAAAGGTTGCAGCGCTTGCCTGGAATGATGGGTCTTGGATCCTCTTGGGGCAACCCCTCGTCTTCTGCACCCACAGACCTGCAAAAAACACTGCTCCTCCTGGGGCATAGGCTTGTGCTGACAGACCCTCGACTGCCACCAGTAGGGTACAAATCAGATTGGAATTAAGACTTTTTTTTAATATATATATAATAATGCCTTTATAAAAGGCAAAGGGATATTTGGAAAGTCTGCTGTTCTCAGATGAACATACTAAAGAATGAATTGCTTAATAGAGCAAAAGCTGCTTTGAACAAGTTTTTATTTTAATTTTTAAATTGTACAGGTTTGTAACTTCAGAGGAGAAAAAGAAAGAACAAATGAACACCCCCCCAAAAAAAAAAACCTCTATAGACTATTTCTTCCTGTTTATCACAAGTATTTTGCTTTAATAAATAATACACTGGTTATAGTAGTTAATATATTGGTATGAGAGTATTCCTAATGTATGTTTTACAGTAACTTTATATTTAAATAAAACCATTTAGTTTTTAAGAGAGATTCCAGGGTTGCCTAGAGTCTTTCTTTCAATCTTTCTGTTGTCTGCTGAGTGTTCTGCAGCTTTCCTCTCCATTCCTTGTCTTGAGAACATCTGTGGCTCCCTGGATGCCTTGATCAGTCATGAGTAAACTCTCAAATGAGCCTCCTAATGTACCTGAAAGAACGTAAAGCCAGACCCCACGGTTCCGTTCTCTACAGCATCCATGAAGAGAATCTGCCTTAAATCTTAAGCTCACCTAATGCAGTTTTCCCCGCACTGATCACACTAGGAGGTAGCAGGCCTTGTGACAGAGGGTTGTCACAACTCTCTAGAGCTGGAGATGATGTTTTGCAGAGGGGGGTTGGTGCCAGTATCAGTTGCACAGCATGCAGTGAGACTGTGGAATATAAGACCCCCCCCCCCCCCAAAAAAAAAACCTAAAAAAAAAAGCTTTCCTACAAGTACCCTGATTGTCTGCTTTAACCTTTGTTCCTGGTAAAACCCCTTATGAAATATCATCTTATTCTTGTAAGGAAGAAAAATGCTCCAGCTGCCTCTTTGAGAATGTAAACAGCCATAAGTGGCAGCTGTGAACATGCAATTTCAGAAGTGCTTAAAACTGGTTATATTCCAGTCCAAAGGAACACCTTGCCTGAAGGTTAAGTCACTGAGATGTAGTCAGAGCTGTTAATGTGTTGTTTTTTTTTTTTTGTACTCCATTCTTCCATGCCCTGAGTATTATTTTTTTTTCCAATTCAGGTACCATTTCCTATTTGCAATGATAAATACCTACAAAAATGACATGCAAAATGCATGCACTGTATAAAACTCCACAGGATTATCTAGAAAAACAATGCATTTTTTTCCAGTCTACTAAATACTTCAAATACTGCACTTTCTAAACAAGGTTGCTTTAACTGGTCATCTGGTTGAGAGGTGAGGAAGCTTGGGATCAATAATTCAAGTGAGCCCTAAGGGGTAACTATGTTAACAGTATGCAGCCATTTGTGCTTTGGGCTTTCTTGCCACCCTGCAACAGCAAGAGGGACAGTTCACTGGAAATGTTTTCCCTTTTCAGCCCAAGGGTAGTATTCAGGTTCTAAATTGTGCTCTGTTAACCATGCAGGAGTGCTATTTGGTGCGTGTTTAAAGCATGGCTTTTTCTTTCACTAGATAATACGAGGCTACATGCTAGCTTCCCTGATTAATCAAGTCTTTGCTTCTTGAAAATACTGTGCCTTGAAATAACATATAGCAAGGAGAGAGTACATTCATGCTTCTCCTCTGGCGCTTGGGTGGATCACATGGTAAAATTATTAGTGGTAGATTTGCTATCAGGATTCTGCCTTCCTGATATGTTAAAACTAATCCTGTCAAGCCTCAGCCCTTCATCCTACTTGAGGCTATCAGAGAGATTAAGTTGTAGAGCAGTACCACTATACAGGAAATTAGTAGAGACCTCCTGCATATCTAAGGTACAGTTGCAGTCTTCATGAGAGCTAAACAACAACCATCCTCTAAGGTGAAAAAGGCCTAAGCTACTCCATGAAGCAGGACAGATTTTAAAACAGTGAGGCTGTGACAGGACATGGCAGAGATTATCTGCTGGAGCCTCCGGTACAGACCAGATGCTTTCAGAAACAGGAGGAATCATGGTGCAGACTGCTGTAGTTTCGGTACCGAGCCCTACCGAACCAAGCTTATTCCACAGGGAATTTTCATTCAGTGAATGCATTCCAACTAGCAGGGCTCAATTTATCAGTCTTAACACCAGCAACGTTACTTGGGTTTTTCCTTCTCTTTTTTCTTTATGTACTATAATTCTAGATACTCAACTGTCAGCAATTTACAAAGTATTTAGTCTTCTTATGAATGTACTCTCTCCCCATGCTAGAGTAAGGCTCTTCGCACTTAAATTGTAACTGCTGTTAAACAGGTAGGAGTCATTCTTCTAGAAACACTTCTTTTGTAAAAGGTTCATTTTACAAAGGGCTGAATAAATAGGAAGTTAGAGTAGCGCTGTATCTATTGCTGCTTTCAAGTGGTGGAGCAATGCTTCGGGTGGTGGAGAAAGTGATGTCAGGTCTAGTTTCTTGAAATCTTCGTTGGCACTCAAAGATGTTAACACCTTCACAGTCCTCTTTAAATCGAACACTGCGTGGAGCATGCCCAAGGTGGAAATGGCAGCTTTTGGAGTGTTCTTTGCTAAAGCTTCATCATCGAGGCCTTTCTCCAAGATAGAAATCCTGTTCTCGGCAATGACTTTGAGGAAGTTGTAGAATTCCTTATAGTCTATACCCGTGCAAGACTTCATGATCAACTAAGGGGAAAAAAAAAAAAAGCTGCTTTGAAAAAGAAGCAATTCCAGCAATTCCTTTTTATTTACTGTAAGAATTACAAAAACTATTAAGCTTGTTATTATCTAGAATCGTAAGTAACTAAGCTTAATCAACTTTAACTTTTTTGTAACTCCTTAATGACTAATAGCACTAATATTTTTTGTCTTATTAGAAACTTTACTAGAGGTTAAAGCACTACTGTTTTTTGTACTACTAAGTGACTGCTGTTTTGAATCTAATTTTGGACAGCCTCCATATAAATTTTATATTTGCTTCACACTTAAGCGCTTAGGGGCATACAAGATATAACACTGCTCAATTTTGAAAACAGCACCTTGCAAAAGAACATAGAGCCTACATAAGTGATTGCTCCTTATGCTAAAGCTAATCTCAACGATTGAGAAATATCAGTGTTCATTTTCCAGCCAACATCCTAACCTCCTTGACGTAAGAAATATGTACTGACACAAGCCTTCTATTATCTTACTAATGCAGTATTTCATTTCTCAAGAAATGTAATTGTCATTTGTCTCTGGTTCTTTCAGAAATCTGCACTAATTCCAGGTAAGAGGTTAAGGACTTGAATGCCTTAAAGCTCTGATAAGATGGTGCATTGCATCCCCAGAATGAAAGATCCACTAAATAACATGATGTTGGATGTCTGACTGCCTGTTATACCTGGCATTGTAGGTGCCAGTCATCCATAGGGTCCTTCCATTCATTGATTTCTCGCTGGACAGCTGCTAACTCATCCTGCAGGAAGCACCACATTATGGCCACATTGCAGCCATTCACCCAGTTGTGGTTAATGGAAATGGTATCCTCCTGAAGAAAGAAAGTTGGAACAGTTATTAAGCTCTACTTAGGAAAGTGTGAGAGACCAACTGGCAATTCACTGTTCCTGCAAAGTAGTAAAGTCACATTCTCCAGCAAGTAGAATCTTCCTCTGGGGGCCAGCATCAATATTATGCTGAAAAGTTGGTTCTTTTTAGTGTCTAAAATTGCAAAATGACAAATGT